CTTTCGTCTTATACCTAACCTACCTTCAACGACTGATTGATGGTGATCTGAAGAAAAAACAGGTATTTAATGCTGCGTTAGGCTGGCAAGTTTTGCAGGACAAGCGTCAAACGACTAGTTGGAGAAGGAAACGACCCGGAAACTCCGACCCGCAAGCTGAATAATCCACATCTGCTGATCGGTCAATTCTATTCTATCTACTACCTGCTCTGGTTGCCCCTTACGCTATCGGCAGCAGTTGCTTAGCTTGCTGCCGCGGGATATACGCACCACGTCCGTGGAAGCAACCTGAAAAGTGCTGCGCCTTTGGGATCGCTCACACGGGTGGGCGCCGCCGCGCCGGGCGGGCAACCCACCAGTCTGGCGCGGCGCAGACGGCACGTGGTAGTCGCCGCCTCACCGGGCGGGTTAGGTGCCGTCGCGGTCGCGCGCACCCCCCACGACGCACGAGGCCACGACGCGCGCGAGGGGTGACGGCTGACGGTGTTGTGTGTGGTTGCCGGGTGAGGATGCAATCACGATCACGCGGTCGCTTCTGCAGTTTGCACCACAGACAGAGGTGTGGAGTCTCTGCACGTCGCGAGGCGGCGCACGCGCTTGCCTCGGGCTGGGTTCTCTGGATATCCGAGGCGTCTGGCTTTAACTCTCTTGTTTCTAGAGAGAGAGAACGTTTGACTGCCTGAGGTAGACAAGACAGGTTCGGTCCTGTCTCCACGTGCTGTGCCTTATCTTCCGACGAAGCTTCTGAAGTTCTGAGCAGTGAAATGGCCATTTCATCAGCATCATATCTCAGCAACTTGCGATTGTCTGCTTGTGTAGATGATGGTCGTCCGAAAGAAAGAATGCGTTGACGCGCATGTTACGTCCCGACAGGGATGCCCGGATGGAAGATGTCTGGGCCTGATCCTGGACCCAAAGCTTCACAAGGTCGGATTTTTATGCGGCTGCTTCCACGATTTTACGCGTATATACATACTTTCTCGAGGATGGTGTTACTTCAAAGGCTTATATCCCTTCTACTGGTTCTTGTCCTAGTCTTTCATATCTTTCACGGTCTGTTCACATGGTGCCCTCGGCTATAAACACCTTGGTCTCTAAGGTCCTGTTTGGATAGTCTAATTTTTTTGTGATGGTTTGCTAAACTTTTGACAACGTTAATTTTTTGACTTCTTGTTTAGAACCTCAAGAGCCCAAGTAGTCTAAAGTTAGATTCAAACAAGACCTAATTCGTGTTTCGGAATAGATATGCTAAGTTCTTTATGGCGGGCGATACATCTTGTTTTGGGTCTCAAACCCCTTTTAAATGTCATGGATATCTTTCATAGTTGACACAAACAAAGGGATAGATCAAATAAGATGTTGTTATTGACAGGTGGTGCAACCATTTGTTGGACCTTATAGCTAGTAAGAAATGATATGGTTTTCAATAAATGCCGACTCAAATCTCTTTTGTAGGTTTTATTCAAAGGAACACATTGTCTATCAGCCTGTTCGCTTGGTCGTAAACGATCGTGAATTATAAGCCAGAACAGTATTTTTCTCTAACACCAAACCAGCCAGCAGTAATAATCCACGATCGTATACGATCGTATCAGCACCAGCCGAACAGGCTGAATGACATTGGTCATTGTTGCAAAGGTGTGATGAAAGGATCGCTTCTCTCAAGTTTGTTAGGCGCTAGAAACAGCGGTCATGCAGTTCATTGCTTCTTTTAGATGGCCAAATAATGTTAGGATTGGTTTTTGAGTGGATTTAGTTTTATGTGTGCCTCAACATGTAAAAATTGGTCTGATTATCTTGGTTTCAAGAGATGAAGCCAGATCTTTTTCTTTATCTAAAAAAGGTACTCGCCCCTAACCACATACGATACGATGATACGACAGACACACATCTTAAATTATAAGTTATTTTAGTTTTTTCATAGGTTTCTCAAAGTCTGGCCAATTTAATATTGTGACATCTACGATACTAAATAAATACACTATTAAGATGTATTTCATAGTCAATTTAATGAAATTAATTTGATGTACGTATGTGTTTTCATCTTTTATGTAAGCTTCTTTTTAAGTTAGAAGAGTTTGACTTATAAGAACAAACTTAGAGGAGGTAATGTAGTCTCTATCTCTACAACTAAAACATATGGATTATCAACGTCTACTCGGTAGGACCAAAATCTTCTTGCGATCCATGACTACCTTATGCAGAAAAGGAAATTCCCCAACCCCTGCGCATGGCTCTTATCCCGGCTCTCCAGCGCCTCCCTCCCTGCCTTTCCGTGCATGCACATGCACCCGCTCTCTTTCGGCAATCTCCTCCTCCCTCACAACAATCAAATCCTGATGCCATCTATGATTATCTTGTTCCTTTTTCGTGTATTGTTGGCATGAAGTGATGCGATAATTGAAGTTGATGTTTTAGTCTTTCCAAATGCATGCACATCCATGAAGACTTATGCCCAATATTTTAAATAACATGCAAACATGTATTCTTATCTTTTTAACTTACAAGTGACAAATCCAAAAAGCACGATCACAAGAAAAAAAAAAAGAAAACAATAAGAGAAATGTTAACGTCCGTCATCAGGAGAACATTTCAACTAGGACATTGTTGTGCCCGATTATCTTTCTAATGTATTAAAATCTGATTGTATTTCCCCAACGCTCCAAAATCTATGGTATTTTTTCCCTTTCAAGGAAAATCGGACAAATTACAGGAAAAAAACACAACAATCAAATCCTGATGCCATCTATGTGCCATCTATGATTATCTTTCCGTAGCACTTTATTCATAAAGAAGTGCAAGCTTATTTTTCGCGTGTTGTTGGCATGAAGTGATGCGATAATTGAAGTTGATGTTTTAGTTTTGCATTCAAATTTAGAGTTATATTTTAACTATCTATCTTTCATGAAGACTTATGCAATATTGATTGGAATATTGTGATTGCGGTATCTATTTTAGATAACAGTATAACACACGCACATATATATATATTATCGTGGTATTATGTGTTCCCGTTGCAACGTATGAACATTTACATAGTATGTAATATAGCTTACGCAAAACGACTAATTTTTTCTAATGAGTTGAGACCGATACATTTGGCGCATTGATGGGTCTACGTACATGTCTATGTATACAGCACGGGCGTAAGCCTCGATCGGTCGATCATAACTTACAAGTGACAAGTCCGTATTCTAGACACGCAAATAAACGAGGCCACTCGTGTTTGAATCAATATCAGTACGTCAAAAAAAAACCCGACAAGTAGCGCCCACATTACTTGCTGTGGGTCAAAAAGAAATGAAGGGCTAACACAAGTAGACGCGCATGCGTCATCTTATCTTGCACATAGGCAACGTCATCAGGAGAACATTTCAACTACGCGTCTTCTAAGACAAAATAAGAAAGAGTAGAATAGACACATGTATCATTGACTTATCTTCCTAATGTATTAAAATCTGATTGTATTTCACATGATTAAAGGTGAACTTTTAGTTTCCTTATATAAAATATGGAAAGTATATGATTTGCTTTCCTTATACAAAATAATCATATATTTTTATTTAAGTAAACATTATCTTTTTATTTTCCAAGTACACTATATTTAAGGACATATTTCAAATGACAGAATACACCGCATCCAGTGGGCGGCCATTTCGTGCAAAGGACGGAGGGAGTAGTCGCACTACATTGTCTGTCCTGTGTGCGGCCATTTCGTGCAACGTCAATCAGGAGAACATTTCTACTTCGCGTCTAATCGCACTACATTGTGTGTGCGGCCATTCCAGGAAAACAAAAAGGCGCATTTTTTTAACGAAAGGGTACGAGATTAACGGCCTGTTTGTTGGATTGATTTGACTTATAAGTTATGACTGAAAACACTATTAACTAATTTGGTATGAGAGAAAAATATTATTTATTTATTGGATAAGTGAGATACATGAGATGCACGCACACGCTCACCGATGACATCCTCGCCATGCGGACTTCTCCAAGGCCTTCAAGCATTATTAACTAATTTGGTGTGAGAGAAAAATATTATTCATTGGCTTCATAAGCCTCAAATATTTGCCACCAGCTTATAAGCTCTAGATTTCTCCGGAGACAAGCGAACATGCTGTAAGTACGAGAGTTTTACAGCCCGTCTCATAATTGCACGTTGGCGTTCTATTTGTATCTAGTACAAAATGCCAAACACTTTGGATAAAATTCGATTAGCATGACACAAAACGACCTTTTTCTCGGATAATCTTATAATAATATATGGTGGAAACCATCATGAGCTGTTTTGCTTTAAGAAAGCGATCAAATGCATGCAACATATAGCAATAGGAAAGGCAAAACTTGATGCAAAGGCAACACTTGAGGCAGTCATTTGTGATTACATCCATAACTTAAAAATCCGATAACTGGCTGAGAAAATGCTCACGGATCCATAGTTCATTGATGCTCACCACAAAAACAGAACCATGACAGAAACTGAAATAAAATTCTGAACCGAACCATGGCCTTGTTTAGATTCCAAGTTTTTTCACTCTCTCTCCATCACATCAAATCTTTAGACACATGCATGGAATATTAAATGTAGATAAAAAAATAACTAATTACACAGTTTAATTGTAAATTACGAGACGAATATTTTGATCCTAGTTAGGCTATGATTGAACAATAATTATCAAATACAAACAAAAATGCTACAGTGTCAAATTCCGATTCCTAACACTCATCTAAACAAGGCCCATATCATTCTGTGTACCAGTAGCATGAGTTGAATTCAACATCAGAATCCAAAGCAAGGTATATGAATTTGACAGCATCGTGCTTTGGTCATTCATAAGTTCTACTGAGTTTCTGCAATTCTGAAGCTATGAGCCAAGTACAGAGCTACAGTCTTGCAGAGTACACATCAGGGTATCTGAATGTGTTAAGAATGACATGCAGGATGCAACTGCCGTTGCTGCCAATATAGCCATTTTGCTGGAATCATTTCATAGCGCGCCTCAGATGGCTATTTTACCATTGCAAGCAGATGCATATGCATCGGCAAGGCTAGGAAGAACACCCTTATGAGGATGTACATACCTGGAGCAGAACACGTTATCACTAACCGTGACCATCGTGTAGAAGCTCTGATCTTTCCGGATCAATCCTTTGTCCCGGAGCACCTTCATCACGTAATGCCGGGGCACCAGCCGGCGTTCCAGACTGTACATCAGGATTGTTGGCCTGCCCTGAATGTACTTGGTATCGACGCCGACCACATTGGTCAGGAACTCACAGGTGCGCTGAATCCTCTCCCTGGAGCGCCTCAGCACCAACGGGTTCCTTTGCACCATTCTGGCAACCTCAGCGTCTGAGCACCCGAGAATCTTGGCCATCATCTTGAGCTTAGAGGCCATGGTCTCCGGGCCGACGCCCGACACGGCGGTCACAGCCTGCCTGAACAAAAGCGTGTTGCGGGGCACGCCCATCTCATCGGCACGCACGAGGATGGCCCTGGTTCTGTCCGGGTTGCCGGTGAGCAGCCTCGGGTTGGCCACGCACAGGTTGCCAATCTCCTGGACAGATAGACCGCACTCCTGGAGCAGCCGGATGTTGGTCTTCACCACCTTGTCGAGGTCGGAGGTGACGAGGTAGAAATTGTGCCTGACGATGCGGAGGAACCTGTCGGGCGAGCCGAGGAAGGGCATCCAGAAGCCGAGCTTCTCGTCGATGTTGAAGTTGCGGAAGGAGCAGGGGGCCACGCGGACGAAGTTGCTGATCTGCGCGGCGGAGAAGCCGTAGCTGCGGAAGCGGTCCACGCGGAACCGCAGGGTGTTGTCGACGCTGCAGCTGAGGATGCGCGGGTCTTTGGCCACGAGCAGCTGGATCTCGGCCTTGGAGAGGCCGAGCGCCGGGCCGGTGAGGAAGGACAGCACGGCATCGGCGTTGGAGGACGATTTCCAGTGGGAGATACACTTAGCGGCGTTCGCGGCTTGCTCCCGGGTGAGGCCGCAGGTGGAGACGAGGTAGTCATCGGCGGCGAAGTGGCCCGGAGAGTAGGTCGCGGCGGCGGTGGAGAAGAGATCGCGCTGGAGGGAGAGCTGTATGAGGGAGGCGGAGCGATGGAGAGGAAGGAGATGTTCTTGCAGACGAAGGGAGAGGTGTTTTTGGAGGCGGAGCATGGCGGCGGCGGCGGCGGCGGTAGTGCTGCCAGTCTCCGACCTCTTCTGATGCGCCCCCCGCACCGTTCTAAACTGTAACCATGAACTATCATGGGCCTTCACCGCGCCTACTTTGGGCCTTCACAAGGCTATGCTAGTGCCGGGATTCCGGCCCAATCCACCTGGAAGTCACGTGCCTTCAAACGGAGGAACCCGTTCGCCTCGCCTCGTCGACGCGCAGCGCGCCGCCTTCGGCCCTTCGCCAGTTCACCCCAACACCACAGGCCACGACCAATGCGTTGCCGCTCGCTGCCACCGCCACCGCCACCGCCACCGCCCACCGCCCACCGCCTACGCTGCCGCGCTGAGCCGCTGAGGGTCCCAGACTCCCAGTCAGGCGCACCGAGCGCAGAAGCCGCCATGAAGCTGGTAAGCACCAAGCACACTCCTCTTAGTCGCAGGTGAAACCTTCGGACTTGACTCTGACCCTAACGCGCGCCTCCTCGCAGACCTGCTTGTCCGCCAGCGGTGGCGGCGGCGGCGGCTACCACTCGCCGGCGAGCCATCTCCTGGAGCTGGAGGGGTTCCGCTTCCTCCTCGACTGCCCCATCGACCTCTCCGCCCTCGCGGCCTTCGCCCCGGTGCCCCTCGCCGGTGACGCGGCGGGCCTCATCCGCGCGGTGCCGCGCTACTGGTTGCCAGCGGCCGCGAAAGCAGGCGGCGTGGATGCCGTGCTCGTGTCTTCCGCTACGGGGATGCTTGGATTCCCCTTCCTCACCGGGCTCCCTGGATTCGCCGACACCAAGGTGCTTCCCCTGCTTCTGCTTCTTTCTCTTTCTCTCTCTGTGTAGCGTACTAGTTGGAGGGAAGCGGAGACGGAGTCGTTCTCGCTGAGAGCCCCACATACCGCGTAACCGGTATGGTCCCAGACTGGGTCCGCGTGACGCGTCATTCCTGCTGTACGGGAGATGCCGAAGGAGCTGCGGGCGTCGTTGGCTGCTGTACAGAAGCAGTAGCCGACTGTACGGGGGCAGTAGCCTACTGAACAGGGGCTCCGGCTGCTGAGCAGATGCAGTAGCCGATCCTGATTCGTCATGCGTCCGTGGACGCCGGCTGCAGACAAGCTGGATGTCCCGCGGGACAGCCACTGGAGGAGGAGCTGGAGCCGGGGCAGCTGCTGGAGGAGCAGCAGGTGGTGGAGCTCCTGCTGGTGGAGCAGCAGAAAGTACAGGGCCGTGGAACAAGATGGCGGGGTCGTCGATCAGCTCCTCAATGAAACTGGGATGTGACGGCCCAGCAGCAGAGGGCAAAGGTGTAGGACGCACTGGCACTGTAGTACCTACAAGCAAAAAAATCCAGGTCGCTTGGCGAGGACCTGGAGGGGTAAAGCCCAAAGGGAAAACAAGTTTCATCGAAGACCACATGGTGAGAGATGATGACGCGCTTAGTGGCCATGTCGAGGCAGCGGTACCCCTTGTGGGAAGATGGATAGCCGAGGAAAACACATGCTGTGGAGCAAGGAGAGAGTTTGTGGCGAGCCGTGTCGATCAAGTTCGGATAACAGAGACACCCAAAGACACGTAAGTGGGAGTACTCGGGAGATTTATTATGGAGGAGAGTATATGAAATGCCGTGGCGAACAACGGAGCATGGACGCCTGTTCAGAAGGTATGTGGCTGTGGCGAGCGCCTCAGCCCAGTACTGAGCAGGCATGTGTGCATGGAGGAGCATCGTGCGATTGATGTTGTTCAATGTGCGAAGAAGACGTTTAGCCTTACCATTTTGTGGGGAGGTATATGGACACGAGAGGCGTAAATGAATACCACGGGAAGCAAAGATAGTATGGAGGGTATTGTTTACGAACTCAGTGCCGTTGTCGGCTTGGACAACTTTGATGGAAAGACCGAATTGAGTGTGGATATAATTGCAAAAATTTGCAATATGTATGGAGACTTCATATTTGTGAGTGAGAGAAAGGTCCAACAGAAATGAGTAAAATCATCAAGTAAAACGAGATAATATTGATACCCGAATACACTTGCAACCGGGGATATCCATACATCACAGTGAACAAGTTCAAAAGGCATGGAAGTATATGAACTGGAATCTGAAAAAAGGTGGCACACATGTTTGCCAAGCTGACAAGAATAACATAGCAATTGCTCTACTTTATTACAGCGGATGGACGCATTACGACGAAGAATGTCGGTGGTGGCGGAGCTGGGATGACCAAGGCGGTGATGCCAGATGTCGGTGGAGATGGCAATCTTTGGCGTGTGGAGCGGAAGATCTGGCGAGGAAGGTGTAAAGATCACCAAAGCACTATTGCGGTGAAGCATCACGCGTCGGTCGATATCCTTGATAGAAAAAAACAAGAGCGTCAAATTCTATAGAGCGATTGTTGTCTCTAGTAAATTGACGGACAAATAGTAGATTGCGAGACTAGAGATGGGACAACTAAGACATTATTAAGATGAAAATTGGGCCATTGGTGTATGAAGAACAGACTTGCCACGACATGAAATAGGAAGATGTGCACCATTGCCAACTGTAATGGAAGAGTGAGGAGGAGGATGATGAGAGAGGAGTATACCATCTGAGGAGCTCATGTGGGAGGAGGCACCGGAATCCAGGACCAGGGATGCTGGCCTTGGAGATGCATCTGATTGAGTGCAGCGACAAGACCATCCTAGTTCCACATGGGAGCTGGTGGAGAGACGTGGAGCGACGCAAATGTCGTGGGGGGCGCGGAGGTGCGAAGGTCGTGTGAGCCTGAGGAGGAGGGGCGCCAAGCACGCCGGCGCCCCGGCTCTCCTGAGCCGAAGGAGGGCCCTGTGGCGCCCATGGATTGTAGCAAAGACAGGGGCCCATGGGGCGGTATGGACCAGAATGGGCACGCCGCCCATGTGGCTTCTTCGCGTGAGACCCATTGTTCAGTGGCCGGCCCTTGCCCTTGCCCTTGCTGCCCCTTCTTTGCTATTGCCACCGCGCCCCTTGGTCTGGTGCTGCCATAGCCGATCACGTGTGGGTTGTGTGGACCTCGAGTTGGTCGTGGCGGCGAGAGCACGCACTTGCTTTTTTACCGAAAGCTGGTGTGCCAGAGCCAGTGGTGGTGAGAGAGACGGCGATCTTGGGCGATCGTCTTTTCGTCATTGGCGAGACGAAGGTCCTTTAGGGCCAGCATGTCATGGGCCCTGGCGAATGTGGGAAGGACAACGAGTTGGCGATGTCGTCGGCGGTGTTGGAGAAGCGAGGATTGAGGCCGCGTAGAAGGGTGAGGACGAGCTGCGAGTCCTGGACAGGATGGCCGACGTCGCGAAGAGCGGCGGCCTTGATCTTCAGTCGCTGGCAGTATGCCAATATGGTGCTGTCACCTTGCACCATGGAGTGAAATTCATTGAGGAGGAAGATGGCGTGTGGCTCCCGGTTGGCGCGGAAGATCCCTTCAATGGCCAACCATAGATCACGGGCGGTGGGATCGGCACCGTCCATGGCGAGGTCGAGGACGGAGTCGTCGACGGAGCCGGAGATCTAGCCCTGGACGCAGCACTCCGCGGCATCCCACTGAGGATCATCAGGACGAGGGGGAGCAGAGCCATCGATGTGGGAGCGAAGGCCGAACTTGCCGCACAACGACTTGAAGAAGAATGCCCACTTGGAGTAGTTGGATTGCAGGTCTAGCGTGAAAGGGATGTGAGACTTGACGTTGACCGTGGCGTAGTTGTGAGCCACGATCGGGCAAGCGATCTTTGGTGCTCATGGCGACCATGGTTGGGGTGCCGGGCTGTGAAGGGGGTGCTCTGCCGGCCGGTGGCGAGGAGGAGGAAGAGGCCATCGGAGATGAGCGGGGAGTAGAAACGGTCGGTGGTGGGTGGGCCGGGTGCGAAGGAGACGCGCAGCAGTTGAAGGCTCACTTGTGCGAGAAGAATGGTCGCGTGTGGGAAGGTGCGATCAGGGAGAGTCGCACGGGAGGAAAGGACAGGAAAATAGGATCTGATAGGATGATACCATGTAGAGACACACCTCACACCCAATATGGGGGGTGACCTTCATATATATAGCCAATATGACTGGGTATACAAGGAATACAATCAAGTATACATAGCAGGTGCTAATCATAGCTAATCACACATAGACTTGCCTAATAGCCCCAAGTTACGGTTCAGGCATTTCAATAGCTGCTTTTCAAGTACTCATATTCAAATATAGATCTCTAGGTATATCCTAAGCTTTCAAATCTTTTTTATTGCCTCTCCCCATGTCAATTTCGGTCTTTCTCTATCTCTCCTCATATTATTAGCTTGGTTTAGGACTTCACAATGCACTGGTGCCTCTAGAGGTCTCATTTGGACATGGCTAAACCACCTCAACCGATGTTGGACAAGCTTTTCTTCAATTGGTGCTTCCTCTAGGCGATCATGTATATCATCGTTCTGAACTCGGTCCATTCTTGTGTGACCGCAAATCCATCGCAATATACGTATTTCTGCAACATTTAGTTATTGAACATATCAAATCTTTCTAGGCCAACATTCTGCTCCATACAACATAGCCGGTCTAATCGCCATTCTATAGAACTTGCCTTTTAGCTTTTGTGGTACCATCTTGTCACAGAGAATGTCAAAAGCTTGTCGCCACTTGATCCACCCTGCTTTGATTCTATGGCTAACGTCCACATCAATATCTTCATCCCTCTATCGCATCGATCCCAGATACCGAAAGTGTATCATTCTTAGGCACTACTTGACCTTTCAAACTCACATCTCCCTCCTCTTGTACAACTCCGCTAAAGTCGCATCTCATGTATTCGGTTTTAGTTCTGCACAATCTAAAACCTTTAGACTCAAGGGTCTACCGCCATAACTCTAGTTTCCTATTTACTCCAGCCTGGCTTTCGTCCACTAACACTACATCATCAGCGAACAACATACACCAAGGGATATCCCCTTGTATGTTCCTGGTAACCTCATCAATTACCAAGGCAAAAAGATACGGACTTAAGGCTGACCCTTGATGAAGTCTAATTTTAATCGAGAAGTAATTTGTGTTACCATCGTTTGTTCGAACACTAGTCACAACATTGTTGTACATGTCCTTGATGAGACACAAGTACTTTAATGGGACTTTATGTTTGTCCAAAGACTACCACATAACATTTCTTGGTATCTTGTCATAAGCCTTCTTCAAGTCAATGAAAACCAAGCAGAGATCCTTCTTTTGTTCTCTAAACCGCTCCATAACCTGTCTTATTAAGAAGATTGCTTCTATGGTTGACCTTCCGGACATGAAACTAAATTGGTTTGTTGATATCTGCGTCGTTCCTCGCAGGCGCTGCTCGATGACTCTCTCCCATAACTTCATAATGTGGCTCATCAACTTAATTCCCCGATAATTAGTATAACTTTGGATATCTCCCTTGTTCTTATAGCTTGGTACCAATATGCTTCTTCTCCACTCCTCAGGAATCTTGTTCGATCGAAAGATATTGTTGAACATCTTGATTAGCCATACTATAGCTATATCCCCGAGACATCTCCACACCTTGATTGGGATACCATCAGGGCTCATCGCTTTGCCCCCTTTCATCCTTTTCAATGCTTCTCTGACCTCCGATTCTTGAATCCTCCGCACAAAGCGTCTGTTATTGTCATCAAACAAGTCGTCTAGCTGAACGGTGGTGTTCTCGTTCTCACCATTGAACAATTTATCAAAATACTCTTGCCATCTATGTCTGATCTCATCCTCCTTCACCAAGAGTTGCTCCCTCTCATCTTTTATGCACTTGACTTGGTTGAAGTCCCTTGTCTTTCTATCGCGAGTCCTAGTCATCCTATAAATGTCCTTTTCTACTTCCTTTGTACTCAAACGTCAGTAAATGTCCTCATAGATCCGCCCTTTGCCTCACTCACCGCTCGTTTTGCAGTCTTCTTTGTCACCTTGTATTTCTCTATGTAATGTTGCTCTGTTGCTAAACTGCATAAATCTTTGCTTGCAGCAAGGAAATGATGCTGAATTGAGTCTTAAGCCTTTTATGCCCTTGGCAATTCAAGTCCTTGAGTGTTCTTTCCTTTCTGGCGTAAGGTATGTTATAATTACAAAAGGTTGTGCTTCTGATGGTTGTGCTTTTTATCTCTCACGAAATCACTATTCACGCCCCGCCGAACGATTTTTTTCGTAGATTATACGTCGAAGAAAAGACAACTTTCTTGATAACAGGGTGGGAAATATTGATCCATTACTGGGAGTGCTCAAACCGAAGTTTGTAATGGTACGACAGTCCTTGTTTCCAGCTACCTTAAGTTGTCAATCCTTTCCTTATGGCCCACTTTATTATGCAGCTTCCTGAAGGTTTTAAGTCACGGTATTCAATAAAGGAGGTGCCATGGTCATTCCTCTATTACTCCAAGGGCAAGACCATCGAGCTCCCAAATTTACGCGAAGATTTTGAGGTGCATTTTGCAACTGATGTTGCCTTCAGATTGCAGCCTAGGCAACTGAACGAAACCACTGCAGTGGCAAGATTGAGAACAAAACTGCTTGTAAGCAGTGGACGGTACCAGCTGGCTTCTGCAGAAAAGCAATCATATCAATCAAAGCGTCACTTGCTACACTGTAGCACTATTGACCCAGGTAGCTTGCTGTCAGCGTTGCAAGAGAATGTTCTGTTCTGATTACTAGTCCTGGAGATGCTTTGGTGAAGATAACATCTGATAGGACTGTTATATACTGCGACAATGAGAGAACATCCAATCAAATTTATGATTCACTTAGCAGTGTTTGTAAAGGGATCTGACTGCATAATACTACACGTGTAATTGTTCGTCATGGAATTTTGCGTGTGTGAAATTGTGAATTGCCATAAGGTAGTAGTATAGTGATTGAAAAAGGGTTCAGTTTTTTATTCTAAAAAAAGGGGGAATTCCTTTATGAAGCATGTTTTTCTGACTATTGATTTCTGGGCTCTCATGGCTCAATCTGCTTGTTGGGCCAGCTCCTGGACCGCCTGGCCTGAAAGCTTGAGGCGTCTCCTTCGAATGGTCGATCCCAACCTTTCCCCTTCCACCGCCCGCCGATGGCCGCCTCTCGCCGCCTCGCGCGGAAGCTGCCGTCGCTGATCTCCCGGCATCAGCGCCTCATCTCCCCGGAGACTGACGCACCTGAACTCACCGAATCCCCCACCACCTCCGCATCCATCCCGCTCGACCCCTCACTGCCCGTCCTTCCGCTCGCCGTCTCGCATCTCTCGCCGCCTAACCCGCTCCCGGTGCTCCCCTCCGCTCACGCCTCCTCCCCCGTCTCTCTCTTTCGTCTCCTCCGCCGAGCGCGCCACCACCCGCGACTCGCTGCGCTCGACCTCCACATCCTCCTGGCCGCGGCCGACGCGTCCTCCGCTTTCCGACCCGACCACGGCCTCACGTCCCTCCTAGCCGCCCGCCTCGCGGCTTCCCGCCGCCTCCCTTCGCTCCAGCGCCTCCTGGAGCTCGTCCTCACCCGCCCCTGCCCCTGCGCCGACGACTCCATCTTCGCATGCCCCGAGCTCCTCCCCACCCTCCGCAAGGCTATCATCGCCTTCGCCGCCTCCGGCGACATCCCCGCCGCATCCCAAGCACTCGCCTCTCTCCGGCGCGTCGCTGACTCCCCACTCCCCGCCGAGTTCTACAACATCATCCTCCACGCTCTCTCCCGCCTCCGCCGCCACGACGATGCCATCCGCTTCTACGGCGAAATGACCTCCGTCCACCGCGTCAACCCGGATGCCTACACATTCAACATACTCATCAACAGCTCCTGCCGGGCGGAAGGTGTAGACGCCGCCATGCGATGGTTTGGTGAGATGCAGCGCCGGAGCTGTGCACCGACCGGCGTTAGTTTCAACACACTTATGCGTGGGTTCATCAGAGAAGGCAGGCATAAGGAGGGAATAAAGGTGGCACGTGAGATGCTTGAGCTTGGGGTCGGGCTGTCCGTTGCGTCCATGGAGATTTTGATTGGTGGATTGTGCTGTGGTAGCGAGGCTCTAAAGGCGGCTGAGGTGTTTGCTGAGTTTTGGGGGGATGGGGTGGTGCCAGAAGGGTTTGATTGCTTTGAACTTGTTGACACTCTGTGCCGTGGTGGGAAGGTGGACAGAGCAGTGGAAGCTGTGGACATGGTATTAGAGAGGAATATGAAATGCTGTCTCAGTGTGCCTGCTGGCGTTACGGTTTTGGAGTGTCTGATGAAGGCAGGGAAGCTGGATGAGGTTTGCCGGTTGATGTGGATAATGATTGATCAGGGGATTGTTCCGGATGTAATTTCTTGTAACTGCATCTTTGAGGCGCTTTGCGAAGCTGGGAGGACAGCTGATGCCAACCAGCTAAGGGTGTTCGCTAAGGAGAAGGGTTTTGAGGCTGATGGTGAAACTTATCGTGTGCTGGTGCAGGGATTTGGGAGGCAGGGGAAAAGAAAGGAAGGGAAGGCTGTGTTGGACGAAATGCTTGATTTAGGATTTATACCAAACATTGCCTCTTATAATAGGCTTCTTGGTGGCTTGCATAAGTGAAGATCTTTGTGGTTACATGAGCGCTTCTCGGGGCATGTGAGAGCACCAGACTGGAAGTATTTCGCTGGATGGAGATGCCTGATGAGCCACTGGTGTACATAGCTGCATGGATATAAGATGCAAGTTTGAAATGAGGTATTGTTTTGATTATGTGCTTCTATTGCACATAACATTACTTTATTGCATTCCTGTTCATTCTTTTGGCCGTGTTGACTCCACCATATCTACAACAATTTATCATGGAAATTTCCAAGCTTCCAACATGGCATTTCCATTAGTTATTGAGATTAATTTATGAAAAAAAATGTTTAATTGCCATGGATGAATTTTGAAGGCCTATCTGTTTGGAAGCAAGGTCTATTTATCAGATTTTTGTGTCGCATTTTTCTGTCATCTTGCCAAACCATTCAGTGCAAGGTCTGTATGGATAGAAAATGTCTTATTCCATCAGTGATCTGTGTATGTTTTCAGGGAGCTACTAAGAACTAATCAACTTTGCTTATGTTCCAAATTCGTTTGGCCTAACTAGATAGCAACTAAGGTAGGGCACTAGGACTTGAATGACATCGTTTTACCGAACTATGTACCTTACCGGCATCTTTCTTATGCCCGGTGCCCCCCAAATATCATGCCTGCCTGATCTCCCTATATTAGGATATTTCAATGCATTAGATCAAGAAAAGTAATAGTAAGGTGGAAGATCAATGACCTCGTTAGGATACTGTCTTCCTATTGTTTTCTTATGTGCAGCCTCTGAACATATTAAGTCCACCTAATGTGCGAGTTGGAGTCTTATACTGTTATGATATTTGGACAGTAGATATGAAGCTAATATGATTGCCCCAAATTGCAGAAAGAGGAATTGCTACGGTGGGAGTGGGACTGCTTCAAATGTAGTCTTGCAGCCGTCACTATGAAATGATCTAGGATGTGAAATATTTGAAAAATGTTCTACAAGAAAATTATTTATTGGCATGCAGTGAACATTGGAAGAGAAACTTCTCAAGGTTTGCAGGAGGCAATGCAATGCTTCCGTTTAGATTGAGAGATCACTTGGATTGATCCGTCTAAGGTTGGTGTTTTTTGTCTATTTAAAGTTGAGAATTCAAAGGGATTAATGTTGCATGAAAATTCTGTCATAAAAATTTTATTAGCAACCATTTGCCCCCAGATCTTATTTCCTTGTCTCCACTCGACAATGGTCATCTTTATCGTCATATATGAATTTTAACAAGGTATATCATGTCAACTTGTATTGACGTTCATGTGTTTTTGTGTCAGTCTCTTAAGGCATATCCAGTGGTTTGTCTAGAGATGATGATATCCTTGATGTTATCATAATATTTGTCATCAACCAGTGTTTGGAAGTACTTACCATCGATTGGAAATCCCTTTCTACACTGAATAGATGTGTCACTTCACACTTGTTTCACATTTTTGCTGTTATGCCATACTTTACAGAAGTGCCGTTTGCTCGTGGGCCTTGACAGAGGAGGATCGAGCACTCAGCGGCACTACGGGATTTCCGGATTGGTAGCCCTGGCACCACTGCCCGCCGGGTGCGTCGTTGTGGATGGTCACTGTGCTGGTGGTTGGCCTCCTTCCAGCGGCAGCATGGATTCAACTTCACCTGACGTTATGTCTTAGGAACTGCTTCCGGACCAGCTGGATTGCTTGGTTCTTTCCAGAGATTGCTTTGTTCTTGCCAGAGAGGTGTCGCAATGCCAATGGGATGGTACAACATGGTTGTCGGTCAAGGCTAAGATTGCAAGGTTGTTTAGTACCGGAGACGTGCGTTTCTGGAGGGACAAGGGAGGTATCTCTGAGTTAGGGACAAGGGAGGTATCTCTCAGTTTGGCAAATGGAGAGGCAATGACGCAATCTATTGCTGGGCATCTCTCTGACGCGCTTCACTTCACAAAGCATCTTCTCTGCATTGCAGGCGTAGACAACCAACAAGTCGACAACACACGATTCGTAGTGTGGATTCACTTCTTCATAGCTCATTAGATCCAACCGTCCAAGCTGTTGCCTGGCTTGATTTCTGGACACATATGTCACTGGTTCGATCTCTGATTCCATTTATTTAAAAAAAAATAAAACTGCAAGAATCCCAATTCCCAAATGTGTTTTCAATAAAAAAAAAAGCTACTGTAGAAACCAAAATACACGAGAGCTGTTCTAATAATAACTCTATGTAATGTTAGGAGCACGCTGCACGCGCGAAGCATTATTATTTTTTCGTCACATAACTGATCGGTTGCTTCGCGCATGTACCTGAAAATGCCTTAGCGATTTGAACAGCGCGCCCTGCGGAGGGCGCCCGCCGGCGGCGGGTCGAGCCAGAGCGCGCAAATCGGCCTGACCGTGTACCTGAACGGGAGCCAGCGGCCGAAGTTGAGCTGGACGTAGAACTTGCCTTGGAGGTGCATCTCCACGAGGCCGCCGCCGGTGGTGACGTTCTTCCACACCTCGGCGTCGTCCTGCGTCATGACCACCTCGCTGACCACCAGGTGCACGCTCCGGAGGGCGGAGTCGCCGGGCTTCTGGTACAGCGGCGGCCACACCGCCTGCGTCCCGATCAGCCTCCCCTGGAAGTAGAGGTCCAGCTGCATGTAGCGCAGGACGACGTCGACCTTGGTGTTTGGGTTGTAGATGGCCGCCAGCACGTAGAGGTCGGAGTTGAGCGCCTTGCCCAGGTGCGGCGGCGGGAGCTCGTCGATGTACCCGGCGTTGAGGGTGGCCGTGCTCACGTGGATCCGGGGCGCCTTGGGGTGGTACAGGAGGTACACCACCAGTATGGCGAGGCCGATGCAGACCACCAGAAGCCAGAACAGGATGCAGCACAAGGTGAAGCAGAACGCCAGTGGCTTCCTCGCGTTCTTCTCCTTCCTCAGCATCGCCCAGTTCTTCGTCCCGGACGGCGACTGCTTCGAGGCACACCAGGCTGCTGATGCTGACGTGGCTCCGGCTTCGGTTGCGGATGCTGAGGCACACCATGCGCTTGCGGCGGCGGCGCTGGACTCCCACTCCCACCCGGCATCGGCTCCAGCGTGCTGACGCGCTCGATGGTCTTAATGGACATTGAGGGCCACCGCGCCGTGGCGGTAGCGGTGCCGTCTCGTTCTGCAGCTTGCTGACGCGCTCGATGGTCTTATTGGTCTTCAGGCCACCCGGCCGGGGTAGTTGCGGTGCCGGTGCTCCTCCCGACGAGTCGGGGACGTCACCGGTCGGCGACGCAGCTGTTCCGGGGCTGGGGATGCTGCCCCGTGGTGGCAGCGCCCCTCCCGCTGCTGCGGAGTGACTTGCCGCCTGCGGCGGTGCAGCTCCTCCCAGCCAGGCACGGCTACCCCAGCGCCGCGTTGGTTTTGACGCCGGCGGTTCCTCCAGGCCGCCTCCGAGCGGGTTCTGTCCGTACACCTGTGCCTGCTCGTCGGCCGCCGGCTCTTGTCTCCTCTGTGACACAGGCTTGTAGGTCGGCCTGGGGGGCTCTGTGCGCACCTGGGGCCGGGCAGTGTCCCTGGCACCGTCGCTCTGCACTGTTGCAAAGCGAATGCGGCCGGTCCCCGGATGAGGCGGCGCCGCATCGGCTCCGCGAGCACCGATGGCGCCGTCCCCGCCGCCCGCCTGCGGTGTCACCGGCTGCTTGCTCATGGCTATAGCTGGGCAAGAGCAGAAGCAAGCAAACGGAGAAGTACCAGCACTATGCAAGAAGGGAGTGACGGAATGGAAAGGAATCAAGGAGTGGTGTTCCAAGTGAGCGAGGATGCAGTTGGCACTTGGCACTTACAAGAAGACGAAGCAGAGGAGGAAGAAATGGGCGGGAGCGAGAATTTTGGAGGGAAAGGGGGGCAAGCAAGGAATCGTTTGATTTGTAACCAGGGCAAGCAACTTAGCCACGCTCCATCTGAGCTGCTTAGTTATACTACTAGCAGCACCACCGTGTAGGCTGTAGCCAGGAATTTTGCGTTGGCTTGGCAAGAGAGCTTCCTTGCCACCGCCGAAAACCTTCCTCCATCTGAGCACTCTGCTTGCCAGCATGTACTGTAAAAAGCACTTTCTGTCGACGGCCATGGGGATCGCCATGATCCATGGAAATCGTACTGCTTTTCTGATGTTTTGATGCCGTTTTTCTTCGCGGTCTTGCTTGACAGTTAAGGCTGTGTTCTTTGGTCTGGGATGCAAAGGTTTTTGTTTCTCTGTATGTACGTGACGCATTCGGCATTCGTATGCCAATGAAGAGCTCACGTACACAGCCCATGTGAGCCCACTATACTGGGCTCCCTTTTCCGCTCCAAGCCGAACCGGAAGATCTAGGCCATCATGGCCCAAAGGTCCACACGGACGTCTCGCCTCCCTCTTTCTTCCTTTCCATTTCCACTCCGCGTCGCCACTTCGATTCGGCTGATTGCGCCCCCCACAAGCCACAAAACCCTCTTCCAGGACCAGAAGCAGCGCGGCGGAGCGGAGCGGAGAAAGCGCTGTCCGGGAATTGGGTGGCCTTGCCCCCGTTCGCAGGCCATGGGGTTCGAAATGCGGCAATGTGGTGCCACTGGTGCGGATCACTGTTTCCCTTTTGTTATTATGCTCTGGTCTTTGTAAATGATGCTTGATTGCGATCGTTCTTTTCTTATTGGAGTGCGTCGCATTGTTAGTCTGTTTTTTAGTAGGACATGTTGGATGCAATGCACTAAACGTAACGTGACCTATTCAAACAGTCCGATCCCGACGTACTCCTTACTCCTTAGGGCTCGTTCGTTTGGGGCAGTTTGACAGCAGGATTCATTCCTGCTGATGAAATCTTATACAAATAAACTAACGATTCCGGCCGGGAATCGTTCCTGGCGGTGATTCAGGGGGAAACGAACGGGCCCTTAGGGTTCTGATCGATGCAGGGTTCCCTGGTGATCCTTTATGCGATTGATCTATGCAGGGTTCCCTGGTGATCCTTTATGCCATTGTTTAGTGGGGTGAGGGTTTTCATAACCATTTCGTTATATTTGGTATCTCCTGCGCGAGTCTTATACTGTTTGAACACGACTTATCTGGGGCTACAGTGAATTTGTGTTGCACCTTCCTTGATTCTTCAGTAAAGTTCCGGCATTGGTGTGATTGAACCATAGTTTGATGAACATACGGTTGGATGATTAGTTTAGTTGTTGTGCTAGTGATAAGCTGGCAAGTTTGAGGGTGACAAGCTTAGATTATAAACATAAGGTTTCCAGGAACGATCTTGTGGTGCCATAATGTAATGGTGCTTGTGTAAACCTAAATCTGCAATTGCTTTAATGCCTGTACTTTTTAACCTTGATTTATCATTAGTTTGTTTCTTTTGCTTTCAAGCTTTGAATGTTTTATGTTGTATATGGAAATGGGCACTGCCAATGGTCTTGTTTTGTGTGGATAAATCTTTTTAATACCATGTTTCTAGTAAATTGTGACCCCCATATATAACTATGGATGCTAAAGTCTATACCCTTTTTTTTGGTTAAAAAACGTACTAATATTTCCAGGAGTAGTAGTCAGACCTGGAGAGACTGTGAAGTGTGACCCAGGGGGTCTCTTTTGTCATATTTCACAGGTCAGTTTTACAAGTTTTTAAATGGCTGTGCTTTCCTTTTGGTTTATTTGAGGGTAGATCCTATTTATTTACTGTTTGTCTGTTGGAACTGTAATACACAACAGATAGCACTACAGGCTGGCAAGGGGAATGAGGATGTGAGGATCTTTATGAAAGTTGATGACAAAGAATTTTTGATCGCCACACTTTCAGATGACAAGTACCCTCACTATAGAACTGATTTTTTTTTGGAGTAGTTGTTTCAGTTGCTGCACAGCTCAAAAACCAGAAGCATCTCTGTTATTGGCAACAACTTCAGCAATCTCGAGAAAAAATATCCTTTCTTTTTTGTTTCGTCCATGCTTAAGAGAAGCTCTACTATGAATTTTTGTTCCTTAACTGCTTGTCCTGTCTTTATCCACATCTGACACTTCTAGCAAACAAGGTAAATGCTGCTTTTGTTCTCGTTGTATAGAGTATCTCTGATATTTTTCTGCCCACGTAACATAATCTGATAAAAAAAATGATGTTTCAAAGAGTGTTCTGCCCATTTAACATAATCTTCATAAAAAATGATGTTTCAGACGATGAATCTTATGAGGAGATTCCATTGGATGTTCCACTATACCCCAGTGTAGATGGTACATCCTTTGTTGTACATAACAATTGTTATTTCAGGGTTAAAACTGTTTGCTTCTTTCGAGTATATGATGACTGATTCAACTTGCCTGATTCATTTATATTTTTGGTTTACACTTTACACTGTGATTATTCTTCTTGTATCGTTCACGAAACTACTTATTTGAGCTGCCAAGTGGATAGAATCATACACTTGTTTAACATTGTTTACATTCAGTTGATAAGAGCAAAGAAGCTGGAAGCAGTGCAGAGAAGCTTGCTGCACCGCCAGGGCCTGCTGCTATTCAGTCATCTACCTCGAAGGAGACAATGGATCCTGGGAAACTGCAAACTGATATTGGCTCTGATGATGATGACAGTGATGAAGACTATGTTGATTCAGAAGAGGGTGAAACTAGTGATGATGAGGTTTGTTAAACTGTGACACAGCTACTATTTTTTGAATATTTTAGTTATTGCTCTCGTCCTTCTATAATATCTATTAACATAATGGTAAACGGATTCAGTGAACAACCAAGCGCTGGTCACTATAAATTATTACTGAAACTCTGAAAGATTGTTAACCAGGGGTCATCAGGCAGTTGGGCTAAATTTCTTATGTGTATGGTTCTATGTTTTCCCTGTATTTATTAAACTAGTACTGTTTGTGGATATGTTATCCGATTACTGAATAGTAAACCTAGTGGTTGATCATGGAACTTATACCTTGTTCATGACTGAAATTGGCTCTGTTATTATACGCATTAAGTGGAAGTGATGGGTTCCATCTTCCATGACTTTAAGTCCATCCTTTGTGTAGCGCATTACATTTTACAAACACTAGAACAACATGTATTCGGATTTTTTTTTGCATGATATGATTGGTGTTTTAGGATTTCAGTGATGACCGAAGGTCCCAGGTTTGATGCCAGTGAGAGTTCAAACGACAGATCCGATGAAGACTCTCTCTGCACTTGGTACGTCCTTTATGATATGATTGGTGTTTCAGGATTTCAGTGATGAGGATGCTAGTGAGAGTTCAAACGAAGATGATGAAGACTCCCCAAAGGTGTGAGATTGTTCAAGCTGACCTTTAATGTTGTCATTGCTCATTATTTTTATGATATCCTGAAACTGTATCTATAATCCATTTTGACATATGCAGTGCGCTAAGGATAAGAATAGGCCAGCAGAAAAAACCTTGAAGACACCTCCAGAGAAAAAGGCCAGGATGACAACACCATCTAAGGGCAAGAACACTGATGAGAAGTGTTATTTGTTGACTTGTCTACATTGTTGTTCCTTCCCATGCCACATAAATCTCACCTTCTGATCAACTTTCATGCAGGCAGTGGTACTGGTATGAGAAGTGGCTATGTCCATGTCGCCACCCCTTATCCATCCAAGCTGGTGAAGAAGACGTCTTCAATCGTTGAGAGGCCTAAGCAACCTACTGGATATGCCTGCAACTCGTGCAGCAGGTAAGTTCTGGGCCCGTCCATCTGATTTTGCCATATGATCAGCCTGTCTCCATCTGATTTTGTCATATGATATCATTCTTTTCACGCATGTGTTGTAATATATACTGACACACGAGCTTTTCTTCATATCCAGGACTTTCAATTCCTACATAGCTCTGAAAACTCACTAGCATCCTCACATGAGCTGTGAAGTTTTTTTTTTTCCCTGAAGAAGCCTGGCTTGGGCACTTGCCTTTGGTAGTGGTGGTTAGGTTTCTGGATTTTTATGCTGGGCTGCGAGTAAAGAAGTTGATTCTCTCGTTGGAGTAGTGAAATGCTATGTTTTAGTACTTTTTTATATATAACTTATGTTTTAGTACTTTGAAGCATGGTCCACGCTATACTAGAGCGTTGGAATTTCGTCGCCAATGTATTGGTTTTCTTCAGCCTTTTCCTTTTCTTGAATATAATGCATGGTGATTCTGTGATTCTTTCCTGTTTCTCGCAAACGAATATTCTCCACCCGTAACTGAGTAACGCCGAAAGGAAAACAAACGATATTTCATTTCCAAATAAAAGGATAAAGAAGACACTGCTTGCAAAACTGAATTCTCGCATTAGTCACGAAACGCTGCGAGCCCACTGGCCAAACGAGAATTCGCGTTCCCAGGAAGCAGTCACAGCCGCTCCCAAAAGCACTCGAGAAGCAAAAGAAAAAGATCAAAGTGGACAAGGCGTTTTTTTTATAACATGTGGACAACAAATGGATAGAACATTTACTACCGATTAGTGACACTGATGAACTCAGAGAATATGTCGACCTTTGGGAGGCAATACAACAAATACCAATAAATAGTGAAGTTGAGGATAATATTCGATGGAGGTGGATAGCAAGTGGGGAATACACGACCAGTAGTGCCTACAATATGCAGTTCACGGGGGCCTACAACAAATTAAGATTAACCCCAATCTGGAAAGCACGTACTGAACCTAAGTGCAGGTTTTTTGCCTGGACATTACTACATCGGAAGATTCTAATGGCGAATAACTTAATCAAAAGGAACTGGTCAAATGATCTTTATGTAAACTTTGTGGAATTGAGCCTGAAACGCCTCAACATCTGTGCAAGGATTGCAGTTTCACAAAGGAGGCTTGGGCAATTCTTCAAAGTTGGTGCGACATCACTCATCTCAGGAATATCGATCAATCTGGCTCTGTCTATAATCACTGGAGAAAGTGTCGAGCCACCTTTGACAAGGTAACAAATAAGATGTTTGATGGAATCATTATATATTTCTGGTGGTATATTTGGAAGGAGCGTAATAGAAGAACTTTCCAACATAAGACAAGAAGACCCAGAAAAGTAGCTAGTTTATGCAAGGATGATATCAACCAATACAATATGGCAATGGTTTCTAGAACGTCCTCGAGTTAGTCGACATGGTTATCAGTTTCTGGCCCCTAAGGGGCCTTTGTTTGTTGTTAGGTGTTAGCGGGTTACGCTTCAGTCGTTTTTATTTCGGTTGAGAGTGGTTTTAGGCTTTTTATCTTATTTTGGTGTTCCTTTCGATTCCGGCTGAAGCGCTCAGATGAATTGTACTAAAACCTTTTTTTTTTTGTCTTCTACCCGTCTAATAAAAATTGGGGCAAAGCTTTTACCGTTTTTTTTTTTAAAAAAGCACTCGAGAAGCAGCTCGGTGCAGAGAAGCCGCCGCCAGCCAGGGACTCCGTGGCGTGCCTTTCTTCCTCGTCGAGACATGCGGAACAGCACTCGGGTTCGTACCGCACGCCGAGATCTCCCTTTTGTTCCTTTTCTCCGATCGCGCCTTCTCTAGTGGATGCTTCACCCTGCTTGTATTGTGTCTCGTTTGATAGTTTGTGCTGGTAATCGGAGATGCTGGATCCAATGTAGAAAGGGTGAGAGGTTTGATCACTCTGTTCATCATCCCGTAGGGTTTTCGTAGATGGCCTTTGTGCAATTTTGCATTTGCATCTTTGTTTGTTGATTGGGGAAAGGTTTTTGTTATTTCCTGGGTGACGCTGGTTCAGTCAGGTTAAGACTTAAGACTACGACTTGTCTTCTACTGTTACTCAGTTGTATGTATTGCTGCTTCCTTCTGTAAATTTCCTGGATTAGTGTGATTTAGGATCGTATTCCATGAATGTAGGATAGGAATGGATGATTTTTTTTAGCTTATGCAGTCTTTGCAGCAGCGCATGGTAAATCAGACTGCTCCGTGACTGACAAGATCGAGGGAAACTAGTCTAGCTTGTAAGGTTTCCAGCTTTTCATGAACTGTAGGAGGTTTCCTATCAAATCAGATGAACATGATGCTGCGATGACATGGTGCTTGTGTGGGCTTCACAAGTTCACATTACGATTACTTCTGATGCTCGTAGTGAACAACTCTGGTTACATTCTTCTCATGATCTTGTATTCTTTGACTATAAATGCAATTGATGTTATAATTGGATGTTAGCACTGCCAATGGCCTTGTTCCCTGAGAAGAAATCTCCTATTTCCTGCAATTTGCGACCACAATAGTTTATCTTAAAGGTATGCTTATATTTCCAGGAGTTGTAGTCAGACCTGGAACGACTGTGAAGTGTGACCCAGGAGAGTTCTGTTTCCATGTTTCATAGGTCGGTTTATACAAGATTTAGTAATAATAACCACTCTTACTTTTGGTGTTTTTTTTTTTTACTTTTAGTTGTTGGCCTACCCCAACTTGTTTGGGACTTAAAGGCTTTGTTGTTTGTTGTTGTTTCAGTTGTTGGCCTTTTGTGTCAATGGACGTGTTCTAAAAAAAAATGGCCTTTTAATGTAGCATTACAGGCTAGCGAGGAGAATGACTGAATGAGGATGTGAGAGTTTTTGTGAAGTTTGATGGCAAAGAGAAAAAGCTTCTGATTGGAACACTTTCAGTTGAAAAGTACCCTCAGTATATACAACTAGTTTGGTATACAACAAGGAGTTTGAGTTACAACACACGTCGAAAACCAGCACCATCTCTGCCCTCGGATTTAAATTTAGCAATTTCTATCCTTTTATTTTACTTTCTTCAATATTTTCAAAGAAGCTCGAGCACAAATTTGTGTCCCTTAACTGCTTGCCCTGTCGTTTATCACATCTGACAGTGACACTGGTACTGAAGAAGGTAGTTCTCTTGTTCTTTCATTACTGGACATCCCTAATGTGTCGCATAAGTAGCATGGCGATTGATGAATCAGATGATGAATCTGACGAGGAGGTTCCACAGGCTATTCCATTATTCACTAATGCACACGATATATCCTTGTTCTACATAACAATTTTGTTTAAGAGTTAAGATTGCTTCGCTTCTCTCTAGTTATGACTGATTCATAGATATACATGTTTAGTTCATGGTGCTATTTATCCACTAACCTCATTGTCTGTGCATCAGAAATCTGCTAAATTAGCTAATATTTGCTCCCATTTGTATCCTTGAAGCACTCGCTTAACATTGTTTACGTTCAGATGATAAGAGCAAAGACAGTAAATGCGGCTTGGAGAAGCCTACTGCCACCGAGTCCTCTAAACCAACGATTAGCTTGGAGGAAACAAAGGATCCTGATAAACCTAAAGCTGATGCTGGGGGCACTGAAGATGGTGAAAGTGATGAAGATTGTTGATTCAGAAGAGGTTGGTATAACTGTATAAGTGATGAATCATGAGGTTATTTATTGCGATACCAATAAATAATAAATAAATTGAGTGGCTAGCCAAAGTATAAGTCATTTTGTTGTATTACTGAAGATAACCTAGGTAATCATGTATTTTGGACCAAATTCCTTGTGTATATGATTACACATTTTTCCTGTGTATGGGTCTATAAATCTGTTATCCATTTGCTAAACCTTGTACCTTGTTCGGTGCGTCGATGCATTTCTACCAGCACTGGATATCACGGGTATTCTGACCATATTATTCATTTGCGTAACATGGTTGATCCTCAAAATTCCAGTGATTAGGATGATAGTGACTCAGTGAGACTCAGAGTTCAGAGTTCAAATGAAAATTTATATCTATATATATACACCTAATAATAAAAAGGCAAAATTTCTACCATATTTTTTTCTGCCTCTTCATCCGCTTACAGAGTCCCTGTAGGACTATCGTCCCGAGATTGGGCGCCTCTGTTCGTGGTTTAGGAAAATGGATCGGAAAATGAAATATAAGAGAAGGAAGGGATCCTGGTGAAAAAGTGTAAGAGAGAAAGATAAGGTGGGAGGATCTAAATTGAATTTAAGAAACTCAGGTATTTCTGATGTAAAAGTACAGCCCATGTTGGACCTGCTGCTGCTGGGCTTGAATCCGGGAGAGTTGCATACTTGCATGTTGACATACGGGAAACGCCCTCAACTGAGTATATGTTTCTTTTCTTAATTACATATTATATTTAGTTCATGGTTTTCGAAATTCACATTTACATAGTTCGATGACGAGAAGCTTGAGACCGTAAAAAAACTACTTTCAGCTGCAATAATTTAAATGACGTTGTGACTGTAAGAACTTTGCTTGAGCCCGTCCAAACTAAAAGGCCTTATTTTTAATAACAAAGATGCAAAATTTTCGACCATTTTTTCTGTCCATCCTTTTTTTTTTATCCATCTCCCTCTAACTGAGCCCTTCCCTAACTATATAGATGTATGCAAATTAGAAATTCTAATCTAAATATAGATTCCCCCACTCCTGAATAACCTGAATAGAAATAGAAATCCTAATCGAAATAGAAAAGGATAAAATTGTTTGATCTTCTTTTTTCTATTTTTCATCTACGAGGCTGCTGAATCAAATAGGAAAAGGATTGATGAGTCCGACTCCTAGACGAGCCAAGAACCAATCGGCCCTGACAAGAAGTCCACGTGCGCGTCTCAATGAATATAGGAAAGAAAATATGCCGGTGGTTCCTTCCTTCGGCAAAAAGAGGTTACATGGCATGCAGGAACGCAAGGCAGCGCCCTCGAGTCCACAAATATTTTTTCCTCGGCACTCGCTGCTTTCTCATTGCATGTGAAGCTAACGGATTTGTTAATCACCACGGTGCCGCAAGCTCTTAATATAGCTCTTTGGCCGCCTACAGCTGACTTACATGAACGTTATTTGCTTTTGTGTCGACTGAAAGTTTGGACTTTGGAACCATAGCGCTGGACAGGTAAGAAAATAATGAGGTTAATTAACATATCATTAAGGGCTAATGAATTTTTATAACTTGCATGTGTTTTGGTTCTTGTGATATGAACATCTGTGTTCCAAACACCCACTTTCTATCCATTTCCTGCAGTTTTCCAATCCTCTGTTTTCCTACTACACTCTCATCTCATTCCTGCGGTTTTATCCATTCCTCTGTTTTCTATTCCTTTGTTCCAAACAGGTCCTCATGAGCGAAAGGACAGGGTAAGGTTTGGAAATAGAAAAAAGAAAATTTTGGTGTCCGCTGGAACATAGTTTCGGGAGTTGAGTCATCTTACATAATTTTAGTTCGTCCAACTCAGTTTTTTCACTGGTAAATACAAACCAACCCAGAAGAACATTATATATTTTTTTAAAAAAAAATTCTAAGAACATTAGATTTAGTTAGAAGCTTGCTTTTACCTTGACGTGAAGCACATATAAACCGTGACTCTTTTTTGGGTTGTTATATGATCCAATAAAATTTAGTTATTATATAGTGTTTGTGCACTACTTATTTCATGTTTGAATTTGCATTGCCTAGCCTTACTTTTGCAAATATTTAACATATTTAACAAGACAATGATGATTATTTCCAAAAGAATTTATTTATTTCATAAAAGACAATAAGATGAAAACAAACACAAATTATGTTAAATGTCCTCCTGCCTCTAAATTTAAAAGTTACAAAGTATAACTATTGTGAATATATATATGGGGTTTCGTTCACACTATTTACTTGACTGTCTACACATGAATATTGTGAGCATAGAATGTATATGCAAATAGAGATCATTGACCAGCTATAAATAGTATTTTTTAAAAAGTCTCGGACCATTGTTAATTGTTTATTCCTTGAAAAAAATGTTCAATTGTTTATTGGACTTGGATATGTTAGTGCTTTTTCTTCCGTTGAAACGCACGGGCATATTTGCTAGTTAGGATGGAGTCTCCAAAGGTTGAACTTTGTAACTTTTCTTAAAAAGAACACATCTCCTTTGTATGATACTCCTGATATTGGTTTTTTATGCAGAGTACTGAAGGCGAATAGGCCTGCGGAAACACCCTTGAAGACACCTCCAGGGAGGAAGGCAGCTCACAGTTCTTCTCCAAGGCACAGGAACCTCAGTTTGTGATGTACTTAACTCGTGTAGCTCACAGTTCTTCTCCGTGGCACCGGAACCTCAGTTTGTGATGTACTTTGCAGGTAGTGGTGCTGCTATGAAAAGTGGCCAGATAAATGTTGCGACCCCTTAAGGTCTTGTTTGTATATCCTCGTATCTACCTCAATCCACATGCGTTAAGGAGATTGGAGTGAAAGTTAAGCTTATTTACATCCCAATCTACCTCAATACATGTGAATTAAGGTGAATTTGAGAGTATCCAAACAAGGGCAAAAAGTGGCCAGATCCATGTTGCGACCCCTTATACATCATCAAAGCAGGTGAAGAATACTTGGTCAATCATCGACAGCTCTAAGACTGTCTCCAACAGCGTACGCATAACGTGACCCATACTCAAAATACGTGGTGCACAGTTTTCTAGCGGCAAAAAGACACGCTCCAACGGAGTAGGCAATCGCACGACCCATTTTGCGTCCGAGGCGACGCGGAACGCAAATAAGCGTCCTATCTTTGTCCCTTTGCGTCTCCACGCAGTGCCAGAGCCACCACCACGATCAGAGCCGGCTCAACGCGGCGGCCGCGTGGCTGCTCCGCCTCACCATGGCCAGCATCGAGGGGGGCGCGCAACATGAAGACCCGCTCCGGCGCCGGGTTGCACGCCGCGCCGCCGCCGACGCGGTACGACCGGAAGGAGAAGACGCGGGTGGCCCCAGATCCGCGCCGCGCCTCCACCGCCGCCAAATGGGGACGACCCGTGCTTGCTCCAGAAGCCGCGGCCGCAGGAGGTCCCGCCGTCGGTGGTGCCTCCTCCAGAAGCGGCAGTCGCGAGAGCGCTTGAGTAGGAAGTCCCTGGCGCCGGCTGTCACGAGCTGCTGCTGGTTCGGGCTGGCTGGCGTAATCTCAGCCTGCTGCTGCTCGGGCCCCGCCGCCGCTTGAGCAGGCGCGTCAGGGTTGGGGAGGGCCACTGCCGGGGTGGTGAGGCCGCCGTAGGGGTGGGGGAGGGCCACCATGGCCGGGTGCCTTGCCCGCTCGCAGGCGCGAGATGAGAGAGGTGCGCTGCCCGCGGACGACGACGGCGAGGCGGGCCCACGACGGGGAGCGGCCGACGCGGCAGGCGGGACCGCAGGGGGGCGTGGGCGTAGCCGGCGCTGCCAAGCGGGGCACGGGAGAAGGAAGGGGAATGGCGGAGGCGACGTCACGGACCTTGAAGAGGAAGGAGAGGTCGCCACCCCCATCTCGTGGTGATGGCACGGCCGAGCGCGGTTACGATCAACCTAGTCATGGAGCGAGACGTCGGGCGCCAGCGAGGAGGGCGTGGCGGGGTGCGTGCCCATCCAGAGCTCGGCGCAGAGCCATCCGTCCCCGTCTCCGTCGCCCATCTAGAGCTTGGCGCAGTGCAGCGGGAGCAGGCTCGGGAGCGGCAGCGCGGGCACTGTCGGCAGGACGGCCTGGTGGTCGTCGGTGGGCGCGATGCGGAGGCTCAGCCACTCCAGCAGCGCGGCCACGGGGGCGAGCGAGGCTGTGGACGACCCCATTCCGTTTACGGCCCTCTTGGCTGTTGGAGAAGGCAAGTTTTGGGTCCGTGACCCTTTCCCTGTACGTGACCCAAACCGTGGAATAGGTGCCGCGTTTAGGTTGACAGTCTAAGCAATCCACTGGCTATGCCTGCAAGTCGTGCAGCAGTAATTTCTCGCCTCTTGTATTTGTATCAGGAGGTCCTTTCCAGTCTTGTTCATGACTTTCTACTGCTCTATCGGTCTGGAAACTCATTGCAAGATAAAGGACAGTGCTCGTAAGTGAAGTAGCATTCATGAACAAGGAGATAATTGTGGGGTTGGAAAGGACTGTAAAGAAGTGTTCATACCGTTGCTGCTAAGGCAGCATCACAATGTCTGAGCCCTATTGGTCTTCGTGAATATGTCTACGGTGCTGTTTTATCTGCCGACAGATTTTCTGCCTAATGGCTAATTGAGCTTTTGTTTAAGAATGATGCATTGTTGCACCCAATTTGCTACCATAATTTGAGATATAATCCCTGATTTTCTTACGTAGGGCATACTGGATTTGAAGGTACAACTTTTTGAATGATAATTAGTAGCATGATAATTAGTAGCGTTTTCTCAGTATATTTTATTTTAACTTCTCAGAGGATTCAATGGTCAAAACTTCGTGCCCATTCCTTGCAAGCCAATTTGCGTGCACAGGATTAGTAAGACATAAAACAAACACCGTAATAGCAAGATGTTAACAAATGTGAAAAAGATACTACTGATTTGCACTAGGCCATTACCAGATAACAAAGATTCTCCCTTACGGGTCACATACTCAATTCAAACATTAGCATCATTCAACGACGACCAAAACTGGGCCAACAGGGCCTGTTCTTATCTTGACGTTTCCTATGTTCTTAACAAAACATACTGGGTATGTTCCAAACTTGACATTTCCCAAGTTCAAAAATAATAAGACCACTAATCAGATGACTACTGGGCAAGTTCCAAACTTGGCATTTTCAAGTTCAAAAATAAAACCACTAATTTTGATAGCTCAAGTAGACCAACCTATAAGGTACAGCACATGCTCTAGGCTTCATGCTTCTTTGCCTTCTGATGAGACTCAAGTGCTGACGCACTGCCAAAAGATCTGGTCCAACAAGATACTATTAGCAAACTATATAATAGCAAATTATAATCATTCACCAAAAAAAAAAAACTATAAACTATACATACTTGTTGCATGACTTGCAGGCATGGCTACCAGATTTGGGGGACTTCTTGTCAGCTGTGGGGGTCTTCGTAGATTTGTCTGCAGGAGTCTTGCTAGACTGCTTTGCAGAATGAGTTGAGACCTTGTCACCTTAGGTAAATGAAAACATAGTTAAACATTAGCATGTTGACGTTACAGATATAGTTAAACATCACATGTTAACCTTACACACCCATTAGTTAGATAAACATTCGCATGTTAACATTACACATCCATTAGTTGAGCTTTATATTAGGTAAATGAAAATATAGTTAAACATCACACGCTAACCTTTCACATCCATTAGTTGGGCTTTATATAAGAACATAACAAGAGTTGAGACTTCACATGTTAACATTACACATCCATTAGTTGGGCTTTATAAGAACATGAAAGGAGCAGCTCACCTGTTTTCTGAGCAGATTGTTCAGACTTAGCCTTCTTACCAGAAAGTGCCTCACCTTCAATTGCTCTCTTCTTGCCAACTACTACATCAGTCTACAATTTAAAGAATGAACAGAATAAATAGGGTGAGACATGACTGCAATAAGCACTAGAGGAAAATAACAACTATCTAGTGCAAACCTTCTTTGGGGTAGGAGTCTGTTCATCTGAATCAGAATCATCACTAGGATCTGCACCACTTGACACTTCATCTTCATCACTGGAGTCATCTTCATCAGACATTTCACTATCACTCTCACTACCAGTGAAGTCATCATCATCATCATCACTAGAAGACGATTCAACTTTTATACCACCCTTCACTGGAACCTTTGTCGCAGAAATTTCTTGGAAAACCAAAACCAAAATAAGTGACACATGCAATAAAACTTGTTTTGCACACTTGTTATGCATAATGAAATTTATAATTGCAATAGAAAAAGAAAACCACTTACTTGGAATTTGATCGGTTTCTAGCTCTTCATCTGAACTATCTTCACCAGAATAAGACGTGAATAAAACCAATGGCGGTTAAGGAAAATAGAGTTACCAAGAAACAAGGCCCAGTTTTAAACAAAAATCTTAAAAATTGTAAATTTTGATGATCATAAGAAAGGACATAAATCTTGATCTTGAAAATCGTAAGTAAGGATATTCAAACTGAGGAACAGGGGACTTGTAGCCACAGAAGAAAACACTAGCTGTTTTGGAATTGTGTGACAGCTCAAAATCTTTATCAAAGACAAGATCACATGAAATATGAGGATGATTCTCAACTGATAAGGTTCCAAGCACTATTTTCTTATCGTCGATTTTGACAGAGACAATGACATTCTCACTCGCTTTCTTTGGTTCCCCAAGTGCAGCCTGAGCAAAAATATCAAATCAGACAAGGACTAAAAAAGCTCATAAAAATTACAATTACGATGTAGAATCAAATCAGCCAAGGGACCTAAAAAACTCATATAGCATATGCAATTACAATGTGGAATCAAAAATTACAATTACAATGCAGAATCAAATAAGCCCAATGTGGAATCAAATCAAAGGGACCTAAAATTTACAGGGGTAAGGTGCGTAAACCTGTGAAAGGTGAATAACCAAATCATCACCGACTTCGCAAGAAACCGTGGCTCCTGGCTTTACTTCTTTACCTGTATGATTATAAAAATCAATTCTTTAATTTAGTATTGCAAACAAAGAAACAAAAATAGAAAGAAAAAAACTACTCAATGCACTTTCTACCAAATCCAAAAACCAAACAGTGATAGCTAATATCAACAAGTGGCTATCAGATACCAAGCTTTCTTTACAAATTGCACCATACTGACTGGCGGACAGCCACAGAAATCTAACAAATTGCACCATGGCAGTCAACCACAGAAATCTGACCATATCTTTCACACATGACAAAACATATTGGCCAAGTATGAAGATAGTGACTAAGTAAGATGCACAATATCCAACCTTGGTTAAGTCAGTACATAGCCTCAGCAGTGGCCACCAATGACATACCATATATGTACGTATATCTATGAACAGAATATAATCATTCTCGAAGGGGCAAAAATAAAACTTCCATGATACCTGTCCACGGAGACATGGACAACAGACTCATACATATCCTAATTCGAAATTCATAGAACAAATGTAGTGACATCCAAACAACATACTTTTCAACAGGAGTGCTTTACCCAACTAAAAAGAACACTAGCTGTATGATAGATGCCTACAGACAACACAACGAACTGAATCTAACTCCATCGCAGCTTCAGTTCAATTCCAAAAGTAACATAAAGCAGTATATAAACTGACATCTGGACCGGGTATCACAGAAAAAAAAAAGCAATCAGAGACTACCAATGGCAAACGGGACACGGGGGGTGTCTAGAAACGAAAACCGCCTAGTACGCGTAAGAACAGTCGATCGATCGATCCCTCCCGCACTGACCAGAGGGGAGCAGTGGTTGAGAAACCGAGCCGCGAATCGCACTGAGCAGTCGAGGATAGTAATAGCGAGGGGAAAGTGCGAAGTGGTTACCCCAGAACTCCATTGCGCCGACGAGGAAGCGGCCGCGCAGAACCCTAGCCGAGTGGGGAGTAGGAGTCGGAACGGGAGGCGCCGGTGCGGGGTTTAGGGTTTAGCGGCGGAGTCGAATTGTGGGAGAGGGAATTACGGGGAGAGGCCGCTCTTAAAGGGAAGACGGATCGTCTGGACCGTCCGATTCGTGCCCTGGAGATCTGGCCCGTTCGTTGGCGTGTTTTCTTTTCATATATGGGCGTTGCGGCTTTTGCCACCTATGTTTTCGAATCGCAGAGGAAGAGGAAAATGGGGACACGGTCTCACGGAGTTCTTCACCTTGGGCTTGAGGGCCCCACCCAGCCTATTGGGCGGCCTAAATCTATCGTTCTATTTATTTATCTTATAAGTCGTATTTTTTAGTAAATAAATAATATTTTTTTTCAAATAAAAATTAGTTATTTTTTTTCATAATAAATCGCAGTTAATCGTCTTTTCACCGTTACCTAGGCGTGTTTGCAGACCTAGAACTTCCGTTAAAATGGTGTCATGTACTCAGGAGTGTCCCTGTCGTATTGCTTTGCCTTTTGAATGGACGTGTTTGCAGACCTAGAACTTCCGTTAAAATGGTGTCATGTACTCATGTGTGTCCTGCCGTATCGCTTTGGAGAATTTTGAATGGGCGCAGCGGCATATACAATGGCGGCCAGGCGAAGAGTGATACTCTAGACAGAAGACTGCGATCTCAACTTACATCATTCGCTGCCAAAGTGCCAAGCGCCCCTACACCCAACGATCGAACCTGGCCTCTGTCAGCCTTCTTTTTTATGACGAGTTATACAAATGCTTGCAATAATATATGTTCCTCCATGCTCAGTGCTATTTTGTATAACAACTTCGTTCTTACATCGTAAGAATATATCTCTACTATATCAATCGGAATTATACTAAGTCCAAAAAAAACGATTCCCGCTGAAAACCTCCGTATGTATCCAGAAAAATTACGCACAAAAATTCATCTTTATTAAAATAACTAATAAAACACAAGACCGATACGAGGACTAATGTTTCGTGTGTGATGCCATGCTTCTCAGCCCCCGCGCCCTCTCGTCTCACGCCTCACGCCTCACCCTCCCTCCGCCCTCAGCCCCCGCGTCCCCGCTCGCGCCCCAGGACGCCATAACCACGGTTCGATCTCTCCTTCCCTCCTGCAAGTAGGTTTATTTTCTTTTTCGAAAAAAAGTAGGTTTATTTTTTTTCCCGAAAAACGAATCAGCTCCTCTCCCATCCGCGACACGCGACCCCTTCCTGTCCCGCGGCTAGGGTTCCCCATGCGGACGTTCGCGACGGGGAGTCGGCGGAGTCGGCGTCGACGCTGAGTAAGGCGTGGTGCTGGTTGCGGCTGTCCGAGTGTGCCGCCCTGGGACGCCGTCGTGCTCACTGTCGCGCTGAGCCGCCCCGCTCCAGGCCGCACGGTGATGGCCCTCGCGGGGGCGGGGGCGGAGGATATGGCGCGGCCGCGGTCCCGGAAGAGGCGGCGGCCAGGCTTACGGGTCCGGCGGCGGCAACGCGTGGGCACCAACGCCGGGTGCGGGAAGAGACCTCATCGCGCGGTTACTCTTTCCCTTCTTTGCCGTTTTGATTCTGTTTCCATGTGAGGAAATTGTTCCAGCTTCAGTTTTCCCTTCTTTCCTCTTTGATTAATTGAAGTATTCCATCGGATTCTTCCGGTCTCTGTTTCATCGTGTTCTTGTAAAACATCGATGAGCTCTTTTTTCTCTCTTTTCTGATGTGTTGGTGATTTCAGTTGTTTGGTTTTCGTCGGGAACTAAAAAGGCCCATTTAGCTGTTGTCGCCCCAATAGCCGCAATCACCGTGTGATCACGGCCATACTGTTATTTTTTTTCTTGCATTTCTGGTTTGCAGCTGCGGTTTGATTCAGTATTGTCTGGGCGTTTTTTTTTCAATTCATGAAGCAGCATTAGCTGATGGAGATGCGGCTTATTCTTCTTGGGATACTGACGATGGGTACCAGAAATTCATCCAAAAGATGAACCCTCAGAGGGGCGATTTGCAAAAATGGGACTCGAAACATCAGTCATTTGTAGATTTGACGCTGGATCACGTTCACAGACACATGGACCCACTCGTCATCCACCCGAGTGTAATCGTAATCGAGGAGTCAATTTTAAGTGTCATCAATTTTAAGTGTCATTGTTGCAATTTCTCCCCTCAAAGGTAGTACTAACCCAATTCTTCAACAATTTCCTTGTTTCAGAAAAGCAGTTCCTTCCTTAACCTCAATCAATCTTAGCAGTGTGCAAAGTTTTTTCATTGTTATATACTAACATGTTGATTCATATTCTTTTCTGAGTTCAGGGTCACTATTGACCACACCTCACGTCCAAATGCTACAGTTATTCGTGAGTCCCTCAAAAATCAAGTGCTTCTCATTGGTTTGTTTTTCTTGTTTGTGGCTCAAGCTGACATAGATTTTGTTTGAACGATATATGTGGACAGCGCCAACAAGTATGGGATACTGCCGGAGGTAGTGCAGGTCCTCACTGACCTCAAACTCATAGTCAAGAAAGCATACATATCCTCCGACGGAGGATGGTTCATGGATGGTAGGACAAAATGAAAATTGGTTTCTTTTTGTTCCCTTCGTCAAACTGGTGCAACAATTTCTAAGCTGTTTGGTTTATATTCTTGTTCCTGTTCAGTTTGTTGAATCTGTCAATCTCTTCCTGTGCAGTCTATCGGGCCTGATTCTTGCTTTCTTCCCTCACGGAGGAGAGCCGTTGGAGCCTTCCTCCGACTACACCTTGATAGAGCTAACTGGGACTGACAGGCCCGGGCTTCTATCCGAAGTGAGCGCTGTGCTCACAAATCTAGAGTGCAATGTGGTGAATTCGGAGCTGTGGACACAGAACGAAAGAGCAGCTGCCGTCATGCAGGTCACTGATACGAAGTCTGGGCTGGCAATTTTGGATGCAGAAAGGAAGTATGTAGTATTTTTTGTAAGAGAGTTGCTATATTTTTTTTAGGAGAGTTGATACTTTAGTAACTTTTCAGGAACTGGAGAATAGAAGAATATTGTATCTGTCGTTTGGGGCTAATGCCAAAAAAAAGTTTCATGCAATGTCTCGTCGTATTAGCAAAATACTAAACTTTCAGTGCTCAGTTCAGTGCTATGAAAAAACAGCTTTGACAAAACACAAATAGCTAGGTACTTCAAATTGATAGAATTAACTTTAGACTTAACGAGGTCCGTAGCGAGAGAAATATACTAGCATGGGGGTAGTTATTTGTAGTATGCGAGACATGACCTATTATATGCCTTTGTTATGCATGATTGTTTTTCGAATTAAACTATGAAAAAAATATATCATTTGACTGTTTTTATGTGCATTTATAGGAAAATTAAGCTGTTTCCAGAGCACGACCAAATATATGGATAAGAGTATCTCGTGAAGAATCGAGTTTTTCTGTTAATAAGCATATCATTGCCTTGGGTGACAATTTCAGCTCATAGATTTTTCCCGAGTCTGGAAACCATGTGATGCTTATTACTGCATGAGTACACACGTCACGACCACGGCGGACATAGACGGAGTGCCCTCCCAGGCTCGTATCGGCATGCACCTATATATACAGATGAAATGTCTGAATCCACAAGGCAGGAACAAGAGCAACGTACGTACACGGCTACATTATTTTCCTACACCGTCGCAGCGGCCATCTAAGGACAACTGGTTTGGTAATGACATTATTCCAAGATGCCCAAGCAATAATCGCCGGTAAAATTACACCTTTCATAATGGAGCCACGAATTTGTGGCGATTCCTCATACTTCTTGGACTTGGAATCTACCTTGCCGCTGCAGCTCATAGAGCATGAGCAGCGCAGCAGAATCCTGTGAGCTCTTCTTATCCGCACGCCCGTCTCCTGTGAGGCTGATGACATCGCCGTTCGGTATATGCAATGTTATTGTTGAAGCAAATGCGAATCCTTGGGGTGCAACCTTTTGTGAGGAATCACCGGAAGAGGAGCACACACTGATATTTTCAAAAGAGGAAAGATTAGGTACTCGTTTACACAAGCCAACTGCAAACCCAATGTGAAACAGTAGTACCTTGGTTCGACTTTCACAAATTCAAACGTAGGCATTGGCCACTGAAGCTTTTTACACGACTCGTACAAGGATACACGAGGTCCTCCTTTACTCAACTTAACCTTCACAACCACTGCACAAATAAGATAAATGGTTAAACTAATGTGAACTTATACGTGATATGCATAGACGTCAATCTGACAAATATATAGGATGAAAAACAAAATAAAACAACTGAGACAAACACGTACATGGTTTATCAAGAACAGAGCCAGGAGCGGTACTTGACACAGTTAGTTCCTTTTGCCTAGGTGGTGCTACATTTTGTGTGTCCGTAACATCAAGCAAATTGTTCCACTCTGCTTGCATTCTTTGGAATTATAAGTCCCCAACAAGAATACATGTTGAGCTGCTAATGCCCCAAATCAACCAGCATGCATGTAGAATGAATTACCAAAAGAATGGAGCATAAAAGGAAGTACCTCTAGATCCCTGAGCAATAAGGAAGCTGCGTGTGCCTTTGCATCTACTTTGTTCTTCCCACAACCTTGCCTCACAAGAAGCAAGTCCTTGAGTTGTAAGTTAAGAATAGCCATTGAGTCGTCTCCTCGATTTTCGCATTTAATTCCAATAAAGTACCCATTCTTGTCACACCACTCATTAAGTTCTCTGAACGGGGGTAACTCCAAATTCTCAGGTGTAACAATTGGGGAAAGAAGAGGTTTGAAAACCCGCCAAACTAAATCTAAATCAAGTTTGCTATCAATAAGAATAGCACCTGTAATACTTTCTACAATATCACCTAGAACCTGTGTGAAAGAAGACAAAGTGAAATGTCATATTCTAGACAAAAACAATGTTTCAACCAAGGTTTTAAAAACTGTGTTTCAACAGTATCTTTGGGGTCGGCCAAAAATGGGGATTACCACATGGTGGACCTACCAATCACATTTTGTATTTTACTTTCAAGATTTCAACAGTTGACAATTTCAAACTACATGAAAAGCAAGTAGAGCCGGATATATTTCCTAGTTTTTACCATAGAAGTCCAACAGGCTGTAAAGGATGTTAACAAATAGTGCACTAATATGCTACTCCTAAACGAAAGCACATCAGCCTGTTCGGTTGGCTGGTTCGTATCGTTGCTGGTTCGTGAAGAAGTACTGCTGGCTGGTTTGTGTGAGAGAAAAATACTGTTCCGGCTGGAAATTTACGATTGTTTACGACAAGCCACAGCCAAACGAACAGGTGTACAGAGAGGAAGAGAAAACATACTTTTGGCCCCCTAAATGATCCACTGGATAAAAGGCTGGTTCTGTCCATGGATGAACCTTCCAGACTATTCACATATTCAGTGATTTGGTCTTGTAGAAACCCAGAAGAATGTTGTAGAAACTGATGGAGATTGTGCTTTACCGCAACTTGTGCAAAATTCTCATTATTAACTGATGCAGACCGTAATCTGTCAGCTCCCCCTCATCTGTGTCTTTATGACTAAGGAACAAATGGCGAGTTATTAAAATATCCAAGACTGCATCACCAAGGAACTCCAAGCGCTGAAAGTAAAACGTCTTCCGTTAGAGAAAAAGAGATAGAATTGTTAGAGTATTTATTTCCTCTAGCTATTACTTTGTATCGGCTGCCTCTTGGGTTTCTACCCAGTGTGTGCTGCCTAGGTACTCCCAGCTTGTTGCCTGGGACTTCTCCCCTCTTAACTCTCTAGCTTAGCCTCTCTCTATATATATGTAACCCTCTTGTAATCTCATCGTCAAGTAATCTAAGCCTCTTGGCCTTTCTCTATCATGGTATCAGACTAACGATTCCTCTGCTTCCGCTCCTTTTGGTGCCCGCCTCGAGCTGCGCCCGTCCCTTCCTCTCTCTCGCGCGCGCGCCTCGGGTCGCGTCCACCCCGCGCGCCCTTCCTTGCCGCCGCAGCCCGCCTCGGGTCGCGCGCCGCCCAGCCTCAGCCCTTCCTCCCGCCAGCCCATGCGACCTTTCCTGCCGCCAGGCGTGCTGGCTTCCCACCCAGCGCGCCCATGGCTGTTAGCAAGTTATGTTTGCCTCCTAGTCTTTTGTGCCTGCGCCTTGGACTCTGGATACAGCCATGCGCCAGGCTAGGCACTTGTGCTATTTAGTATGAGTTAATTAGGTTCCTAGATTATGTTCACACCTTGAACCCTTGAGTTCTCCTGCCTATATATTGTAATCCCTTGTAATCTGTGATTGATTAACATATACTATTCGAGTTTATCTCTCTCACATGGTATCACGAGTCCGGGTAACACCCGCTTTCCCTTCCGCTTCTCGGCGTGCTTCTTCTAAGCGCCGCCGCCTCGGCGTCTTGCCCTTGCTTGCCCCGCCCTCCCTTCTCCGCCATGGCGGCTCCTTCACCCTCTCACTCTCGACAACGAGGCCGGCGCAGAAGCGCCAGAGGACGCTTGCGCCGCCAGTGCCGCCGTCGTCGCGCGCGCTCTCGCTCGTGCCGGAGAGCCGGGCGAGGCCGCCCGCGCGCAAACAAACAAGCGCGACAATGCGGCTACGCCGCGTCCGCGCCGCCACTGAGTCTTGCGGCCCAGAGCGGGCAGCCGCCGACCTCCCCCCGAAGATCCGCGGAGGACGCGGCGAGGTCGCGTCCTCCCTCTTTGATGGCCCTCGTACCTCGATTCAGTGCCGCCATAGCTCTTCGAGAGGCTATCTGCTGTTCTTAACTCCTGCATGGCCTAAGCTGGCCGTCCCGTAACATCCGTCATCTTGTCCGCGTCGTTCTCGACGTCACCTCCGGCAGCTTCGCTCGGTGGCGCGAGCAATTCCTGCTCGCCCTGGGCAAGTACTCCCTTCAGGGCCATGTTCTTCAGGACGATCGTCCCCTGAACTCGCCAGACTGGGAGCGCATGGACTGCGTCGTCCGCTCCTGGCTCTACGGCACCCTCTCCGACAATCTCCACGACATTGTCCGGCATCGCGGCGACCAAGGAGACACTGCTCGTACCACCTGGCTTGCCATTGAGAGCCAATTTCTCGGCAACCGGGAGGCGCGCGCTCTCATTCTTGACGCCAAACTTCGCACGCTTGTCCAGGGGGACCTATCTGTCACCGACTACTGCAAGCTTCTCAAGACCACCGCCGACAACCTCGCTGATCTGGGTGAACCCGTCAGCGACCGCTCCCTCGTCCTCAATCTCATCCGAGGTTTGAACGAGCGGTTTGTCTCCGTTGGCCGCCATCTTCGACGCAGCCGTCCCTTCCCTTCCTTCTTGGGGCCTGCGATGAGCTCACTCTCGAGGAGCTTACCATGGGGGCCCCGACTCCGTCTCCTCCCACGGCTCTCGTCGCCAGCACAGGCAGCGGCTCCTCGTCCCCTCGTCCCGCCTCCCAGCAGATTTCTGGGCATCCCAACACCGAGCCTGGGGGTGGCAAAGGGGGCGGCTTTGGTGGCAAAAACAATCGTCGCGGTGCTCGGGGCCGAGGTGGCAACGGTGGCCACAGGGCGGCAAAGGCGGCGGCTCGAGCACGCCTCGCTGCTCCATCCAACCCGGGGGCGAGTGGGTCTTGGCCCACCCACTACAACCCGTGGCTCATTGTCCCCGACCAAGTCCTCTCGCCTTGGGTGCACCCACCCCACCCACCACACCAAGGAAGCGTTGTCGGGCACAACAGAGCCTTCACGGCTTCAGCGGCACACCCTCCAACACCGTTTGGCGATACTGCAGCAGGCCTCTCCTGCCTTTCTACGGTCGACAAGGTGCTCCTGTGCCTTTCTTGACACCTCGGCTCCTCCCGGCTTCTACACCTCTCCAACCGGTCTTCCGGCGGCCTTCGATCAGCAATCCCTTGCTTCCACCTTCAGCACCATGACACTACAGCAGCCGCCGAACAACGATTGGTACTTCGACTTAGGTGCCACCTCCCACATGACTTCTGATTCTCGCACTCTTTCACACCCTAACTCTTCACAGTATCCTTCTCCTTCTTCTATCATTGTCGGTGATGGCTCCTTACTTCCTGTCACCGCCACTGGCACCACCACTTTCACCGATTCTCTGTCCCTCAATAATGTTCTTGTTTCACCACGCCTCATTAAAAACCTCATTTCAGTACGCTAGTTCACCACTGACAACAATTGTGCTGTTGAATTTGACCATGCTGGTTGTTCTGTGAAGGATCTAGAGTCTCAAAAGGTGATCATCAGGTGCAATAGCTCCGGGCCCCTCTACCCATTACATCTCCCCGGAGCCACCGCCCTTGCTGCTGATTCCTCACCTGCACTTTGGCATCGTCGGCTTGGCCATCCTGGTCGTGACACGTTGTCCAAAGTCACCTCTGTTATTCCTGGCTGTACTAAAGAACTTGGTTCTATTTGTCATACGTGTCAGTTAGGGCGTCATACACGCCTTCCGTTTCAAACATCATCTTCTCGGGCCTCTAATTTATTTGAGCCCATTCACTGTGATTTATGGACTTCCCCAGTTGTTAGTGTTTCTGGCTTCAAATACTACTTAATTATACTCGATGATTATTCCCACTATGTTTGGGCATTTCCTCTTCGTCTCAAATCTGACACGTTTACCACTCTAACTAACTTTCTCGCCTATGTTACTTTTCGGTGATGGCAATCTTTGTAAAAGCTATCCACAGTGACAATGGCGGGAGTTCGATAACTCTATCTCCGCTCCTTCTTCCTCACCAACGGCATCCACCTTCGCATGTCCTGTCCATATACTTCATCTCAGAATGGGCGGGCTGAGCGCATGATCCGCACCATCAATAATGCGGTTCGCTCTCTTCTTTTTTAAGCTTGCATGCCCCCTTCATACTGGGTTGAAGCATTACACGTCGCCACACATGTTCTCAACATCCTACCCACCAAAACCCTTCACTCCTCCACACCTCACTCATCTCTGTTTGGTGTTCATTTCCCAATACGACCATCTTCGCGTCTTTGGCTGCTTGCTATCCTAACCTTTCCGCCACGACCACCCACAAACTTGCACCTCGATCCTCCTTGTGCATCTTTCTTGGCTATTCCTCCAACCATAAAGGATATTGCTGCCTCGACCTTCAAACCAATCGTGTTCTCATCTCTCGACATGTCGTGTTTGATGAGAACTCGTTCCCTTTCCCAGCAGAGCCCACTCCTCCCAATCCAAATGGACTTCGATTTTCTAACCGATGATGCTAATCCCATGCCCAATGCACCACTACCTTTATTTCCCTCACAGTACCTCCGCTGGTGTTCTGCAAGACGGCCACGTGCAAGCACCCCCTGTCGGCGCGCCATCGGCACCTGCGACGGACTGTCCTCGTGTGGCATTCAAGGTGAGGTGCAGCCGTCGAGACAACAGCTGCCACTCCGGTGCGGGCAAGGTTCTTTCACCGATATCGGCGCCCGGCAGGCCGCTCCCTCTACACCTGCTGCTGTTGCAGCTCCAGCGCTGCTGCAGCCCGACAGCCGCTCCATCCATCTCGCTGCTGCTGCTGCTGCAGCTCCAGGCGCTGCTGCAGCCCCCGGCGCCCAGGTCCCTCCATTGCTGCTGCAGCCCCGTCGAGCCTCGACCACTTTGCTGGTGTATTCACGGCGCCAGCGATCGCTCCTCCTCCTCCGCAATCGGCTGCCTCCAGCCCGCCCGGCTCTGCCCAAGGGCGCCGTGTCTCATGCAGCCCACCGTCAACAATCACAAAGATGACAACACGCGCCAAAAGTTGGTCACGGTTTCCTAGTGTCTACAACAAAGACAACACCATCACGGTGCCCCGCAGCTTCCGTAGTGCCCTTACTGATCCCAATTGGAGGGCTGCCATGGAAGAAGAGTTCTCTGCTCTTCTTCAGAACAGCACATGGGAGCCTGTTCCTCGACCGTCTCAAGGCAACATTGTCACTGGTATATGGATTTTCAAGCACAAATTCAGGGCTGACGGGTCCCTAGAGCGCTACAAGGCTCGTTGGGTCCTCCGAGGCTTTACTCAGCGCCCGGGGATCGACTTTGATGAGACATTCAGTCCTGTTGTCAAGCCCGCCACAGTTCGGACAGTGCTCTCCCTCGCCCTCTCCCGCGGATGGCCAGTTCATCAGCTCGATGTAAAGAATGCATTTCTACACGGGACCCTGTCTGAAACTGTTTTTGCTGCACAGCTTGCTGGTTTTGAGGATCCCACTCACCCCGGATATGTCTGTCGACTCAACAAGTCTCTCTGGTCTCAAGCAAGCTCCTCGGGCATGGTACAGTCGCTTTGCTACATTTATTCTCTCACTTGGATTTGTGAATGCCAAGACAGACACCTCCCTATTTATCTACCATCATGGTGCCGACACAGCATACTTGCTGCTGTACGTGGATGACATCATCCTCACTTTGCCTCCTCCACACCTGTCCTCCGTCGCATCATATCTCGCCTCTACACGTGAGTTCAACATGAAGGACCTTGGCAAGTTACACCATTTTCTTGGAATGCAAGTTCAAGCACCGGATGGATGTCTGCTTTTGTCTCAAAGAACAATACATGATGGAGATTCTTGACCGGGCTGGTATGGTACTGAATGCAAACCTGCTCTACTCCAGTTGACACCAATCCAAAGCTATCTCTGCGATAAAGTGGTGACCCAATTCAGATCCCTCGATTTTCGCACCCTAGCCGGTGCTCTTGATACCTTACTTTCACTCGTCCGGACATTGCTTATCTTTGTTCAAATAAGTGTGTCTCCACATGCATGATCCACGGAACCTCACTTGGCTGCCCTCAAGCGGATCCTTGGTATGTTCGCGGGACTCTACATTTGGGGCTGGTGCTCGCCCTCATCCCAACATGAGCTGGTCGCCTACTCGATCTTTGACCGGGCGGCTGCCGGATACTCATAAGTCCACTTACGGATATGCGGTCTTCCTTGGTGATAACCTCATTTTACGGTCCTCCAAACGCCAAAACACCGTGTCCCGATCCAATCTTTGAAGTTTGAATATCGCGTCGTTGCCAACAACATTGCGAAGCTTCTTCAGCTGCGCCAACTTCTCGATGAATTACAGTCCCCTTGCGGCGCGTGCT